CTCTCTCTCTCTCTCTCTCTCTCTCTCTCTCTCTCTCTCTCTCTCTCTCTCTCTCTCTCCTCTTCTTCTTCTCTGTGCGTGCGTGTTTGTTTTCGTACTTCGTCTCTTATCTCTTCATCACTTCTGCAGATCAAATGCTTTTTCTACCATAACAGCAAGCCGTGATTTCAGCCAAACGCCGTGCCGCGGTGTAGGCAACTGACGCAAATGAAAGTTGGGACCCTCTTATATCCCACGTACACGTAACACGGGCAGCATCCGCAAACGCATACCACACATTCAAGAGCGAACAAAGGCCACAACTTCCGACTGCCTGCACGTGCATTCTTTATATTCTATTTTTCGTTTTTCTCTCCAAAAAGACTCGAATGCGCATGTGTATACATGTGTCTGCGGGAGATCTGTTAAGATTAAAACGATACAGAGAAGATTAGAATGGCCCCTGCGCAAGGGGGCCGGGGGTGCGGATGTTTTATTTCAAAAAAAATAAAAAAAAATAAAAAAATAAAACATATGTGCGCGTGCGCTACAACGATCGAGAAAAAATGAGAGAGGAGCGTTCGGGAACCGAAGACCGTACAGAGAGACAGACAGAGACAGAGACAGACACACGGAGGAGCGCAGAGAGAGAGAGAGAGAGAGAGAGAGAGAGAGAGAGAGAGAGAGAGAGAGAGAGAGAGAAGAGAGGCACAGACGAAACAGACCGTGAGAAAGGAGGAGGGGGGAGAGCGACAGCAGACGGGCACAGACGAGAACTTGGCTACTCGAGTCGCTACCTCTAATTCACACGTGGCAGTAATTCGTTCATTCTACGTTCCGGTATTCGAAGTGCATACTCACTCTAGCACTTTCCTGGATGTATCTGACTCAAATTCGGATCCGTCCTGCATGTATCTGAACTCAAAAACGTCCATAGAAGGATGGAAGAAGTCCTAGTGTGAGTAAGACCCAAGTCCCTGTATGCTTGCGGCCCTACCTGCCGAAGCCGCTGGTGGCGAATTCGTTTCCTGCGAAAGCAGAGCAGCGGCTTTCGTGCAATTGACACGTGGCATGTCTCCATCATCCCGCGCAGAACACGGACGGGAACCTCACGCTGCCTCGTCGACGACGATTGCCGCACATGGCGGGAAAAAAAATGTCCCACATGGCGTTCACCCGCCGCCGCCCAGGCGCCGGCCGCACAGGCTGCCGCGATCGCAGAGTCTGCAGCCGCTGCCATGTTTGAGCGCCAAAAGCCACGTGGCGTTACCCCGGAACTCCACGCGAAATTAACTTTGCCGCCTGGCGCCTTCCTGACCACAAAACTGGGTAGCTTGCTGCACTACGTTGTACGTAGTCGGTCGGCCGAACTACACGAATCGTTAGCGGATCTGCCCTTTTTTTTTTCTTTTCTTTTTTTCTCGGAGCTTGGAGGCCGAATGTTCACCCGTAGCTTGTAGTTTGGGGGTCCTGTGTTTTAAATCCTGCCGCGTAAATTCAATGTCATCCCTTAGAAGACCTGATGAATGCCGAAGTCCAATACCCCTGTCAGAACGCACCTGGAGGGAGGATGCACCTGCCCGTGAAGACGTCGCCTGGGAGAGGTAAAGAACCCCAAGTAAAGAGAAAGGGGAAAAGGTGGGAAAGAGAGGGTCATATAAGAGAAAGAGGGTCAGCTGATCCAGCGGCCTAGCTCAGTTGGTAAGGCATGCAAGTGGCATTCAAGAGGTCTTGGGTTCAATTCCCATTGGCAAACTTGGCGCCCGCCTCCTAGAGATATGTCGTTGGTCCCCCAGAGTGGCATTGAGCAGAGAGTGCTGATGCTCATAGGGGGAGGGGACTGGAGGGGAGGCACAATGACTGGCCCATCGAAGAAGCTCGGTCTTGATGCTACCAGTTGACCCCTGGCCGGTATCGCCCACCTGCTGGTGGGTGCCGCTCCCGCATGTTCCCTCGTTGGATGAAAGGGGTCATATCACCTTCTAAGCAGTGGAAGATTAGGGCAGGGGCAGATAGAGGTGTACCTTTAGGGGGGATTGGTTGCCTCGAGGGGAGTTAGGAAGCTTGAGGTGTCATCCTCCTGTTGGGGCCGAAACGAACTGCCCGCTTCCAGTGCAGTTCTGTGACGAACCAATTTCTGTTCCGCGCGATTTTCTGTGCGATGACGATGAGGGGTCCTAAGATGGGAAGGTTGGGCCACTTACGTGAGATCGGGATTGAGGGGAAATTGCATCGGTGTCCTCGCTTCTTCGTCTTTTTGCATCGCTTCTTTTCGGATGGCTGGATTCAAGGTCGGGCAACTCCCGAGATGGCCGATTGAGTGGCTGTCGCGCCGACAGGGGCGCAATTAATAATGTTTGACGCCGCTTCTTTCATGTTCTGTTGTCGGATTTTAGACGCGGAGATCGCGCGGGAGTTTTTGCTTCGTTCTTTTCGGATTTTCTTTTTCCTTCGAACTTCGGATTTTTTTTTCGAAATTTGTACTTCTTTTTGCATTTGCTAGGAATTGAGGAATTAAGGAATTTGGGATTTCTTTTGTCGCGCAATGCCTTCTGCTTGCGTGCTTCTTTTTGCGGCTGCAACGGAGCTCTAATTAGTTGGCGCCCTATCTTGCAAGTAACTGTAATTTTGGACGGGCGTCATTGTAACTGTATCTTTCTTCTTGAGCTTCGTCTTTCACGCTCTCCCTTTCTCTTTTGCTGTGCCTAGTTAGCCCGCGGCCTGCATGCTCGGATCGATGCGCGGAGAGTGGCTACGTCCACCACGCCTCGGTCTGGCCATGCAGAACATAGGCGCTCCCTCTCCTAATCTCCCCTCTAAGTCCGTGCAATTCCGTGTTCTTCGCGCCTGCATGCACGCTATAAATTCTGGTTGCGCGACTAGATAGCTCTCTTAACCAGCTGTTGGAAGCTTGGGGTAGCGCGATCAGTGAGGGTCGTCTCACGAGCGAAGTAAGAGGTGAGTTGAAGTGGGAGTCGGGCGACCCGACGAGCTGGTGCCGAATGCGCGGGGTTGACGCGTAGGGCTACGACGGACTGTAGTGCGTGGGCGAACCTGATGGGTGCAGGAGGACTAAGCGGGGTGACGAATTCGTGGGTTGGTGCGCGACGACGGACTGTCCGCATCGGAGAGAGAAAGAGAGAGGAAGAGAGAGATGAGGTTGATGAACGTGGATTTGCGATTTTCTTTGTTTTTTCCTTTCTTTTCGCCTTGTATATAAGTTTTAATTTCGGCTCGAGCGATTCGCTCTTAAATCTCTTTGGCATCTTTGTTTCAATATTGGTCCTTGTATAATGTCTCATTCTGTCTCGATCTTCCCCATTTGCATGAATGAGATGGAATGATATGTTTGTCGTTTTTGCATAGTTATCATCATTGCTTGTCACTTTGATCCGCTGATTGTTCTGATGTTGTTGCGACGTCTGATGTGTGATGACACCTTGCATGCTCGGAATGATTGTTCATTGATTAGATGATTGGGTAGTATCTGGGGCACGTGACCACTTTTGCATGAAGGATTAAACTCTCACTTTGGTAGCTAATAGGCCCGGGTGCATGCGAACACCTCGCGCGGATACGCGTAAGGGCGATCTGAATTGCGCAGCCTACACGTGTCCACGCGCGGCGATCCGCGTTCACTAACTATGCCGCAACGACCAAATGTCGGACATATGGGGCCGAAAGTACTTTGAGCCCTGGGAAGAAGAGGAATATCGTAGGCGAAGGTACCCGGAATTTCCCTGCCGAACCGAGAACCAATTGTGTCCCAGGGAGTTCCACTGTGTTGTAACCAGTGATCCAAGGTGCCCCAATTTCCCCACTACGGATAACACGAAATACTTCATATCCCCCGACTTCGTTATTATTGCCACCAATTTCCCTCCCTTCCGTCTCCTCCTTCCGTATCACCAACTCACAGTGGTTCTGTGGAATTCTATCGCCCCGTATTGACCTCGCACGCCATGCAGAAATTGCAGACGACGTGGCCACCACCGAACCCTTGGAACTTCGGAACCCAACCATAACGCGCAGCGGCAGCCGCCACGTGTCTGCACCCGAAGGTCTGGCTCACAGGAATCACAACCATCCTGGACGGGCCTCTCCCCGAACTGCCGCCACCAAAACAGACGGATCGGACGACCCTGAATGCACCGCGCATTGCCGCATGCCATGTGCCTTATGCTGCACGACATCGATCGCCATCAGACCGGAAGTAACCCGTCCATTAGCCCTATTGTACTCAGTTCTGACTTGGGACTCCACCCCCACTTTCCCAAAAATCCTTGGCACAACCCTTTTTGCACTTCCAGGCCCACATCCCACTCCGATCAAGAAGTCGCGCCGGACATGAGGTTGGTATCGGAGCCCGACACGTGGCGGGGTTTTAGGACTCGTAGCTGGGCGATTTGGCTAACAGGGGACGACCTCGACCCCGGAACGCGCATCGACGCGATCCCGTCGTCACCAGAAGCCGCTATGCGGCCCGACGGGCAGTCAACATGAATGCTAAATTAAATCAGCACAACCCCCACCAGAACCCGAATCCCCAGCAGAATCCTAATCAACCCGTACCACGAGCACGGGCACCCATGACGCCACCCGATATCCATTTATTCGATCCCGCTCATCACCTTGCTGGAGCATGGCTGGCCACGCTCCGAGCTCAGCAGTATGATGACAATGAGGCACAGGTAAATATCCCGGTACGCTTGGGAGGAGACGCCCATCACTGGTTTAGCACCTATGTATGGGTCGATCTCCCGACATTCAAGCGAGATTTCTTGAATCGATTCGATTACATCCACCCGGAACAGGCTCTTTTTATGATCAAAGATCGAGTTCAAAAACCCCTCGAATCCGTCACCGAGTATCGAAACCGATTCTACAGGATGTTCGTAAAAACAGAACACGGCGAGCAGGTAGGCAAAGATTTGTTCATCGATGGGCTTCGCAACAGAACGATGAGGGCGAAACTGCAAAAACAGTTCTCCCCCATCAATCACACACTGCAACAGATTATGGCAGCCGCAGAGGAAATGAAACGAAAGTTCGCTGCGAGTTTCTTAGAAGGGGAAGACTATCCTAGGGAAGGAGACTCGTCCGAACCAGCGAAAGCTAAAGCTGAGTTGGCTGCACTACAGAACAAATTTGAAAACATGGGGTTTGTGTCGGGCCTTGTCACCTATCTGGAACAGATTAGTCCCAAAAGACCGGTCCCGTGTATGATTACGAGCATGCCCGTGCCCGTGATGACGGCACCCCGGCCCCCGATCGAAACCCCCGCACGACGAAATGAGTCTTCCGCCCTATTAGACCCGCGTCAGAACAAAGAGAAGTGGCTGAATGGCGACCTTTTCCAGGAGAAATGGAGTCGGGAGGACCCACTTTCGTCACGGGGGAAATCGATGTTCTCAACATCGTCTGAGCCTTGGATCATCGGATTCCCCTTCCGATTAGTCATTTACTTTCGATATCGGAACAAGCCAACGAACGAATGTTGCAACACTGCAAAGCAAATCGAAAATGATTCGCCCTGGCCCGAACAGCGAGCGCAAAAGCGAAAAATCCCACGCCAGATGAAAATGCAGCGGGTACTTCAGACCCGATACAATTAGGATTGATTCAAAAAGATGATAATTTCCTACGGATTAAACCAATACCATGAAAATCCGCAGAATGCGATATCAAGGTATGGGGAATCCCGTACAATGCTATCATTGATTCCGGGGCCGCTGTCCTAGCTATCTCATTACAGGTAGTTGAAAAGAGCAGGAAGAAAGAACGATCTAATCATGCTTACGAAAAAAGATCAGCTCGTTTCAGCAGATGAAGAAAAAATTAAAACAGTAGGACAGATGACCAATGTTGCTTTTCGGTTAGGGAAAGTAAATGCTTTGGGAGATGTCGTAGTTTTGGACGTAAATACTTACGACGTCCTTTTTAGCCTTTTCGCTCTTGTGGCATTGCGAGCCAATCTGGATTTCGAGAGGCGATCTATCGCCATCCAGAATACAGGAGGGAAGCCTTATGTTGTACCTATGAGACTGACTCTTCGAACCATGGCTAATGTTGTCGAGTGCATCGGCCCCCGCGCGCATCACGCAGGAGAAACTTAAGCTTTCAACTTTCAAGAGACAACTCGAGGACGACATGGTAACCCGCGTCAACCCTTCGCCGCTCCGGCCGAGTGCGCCAATTGTACATCCCGCGGTCCCCTACGACAGGATAGGTTCTCGCGGGGCACAACTTACCTTCCCTAAGGGGCTATCACCACCCTTAGGGGCGTATCCCCGCCGAGCTACCGACCCACATGCGAAAGTTTTTATAATGCAATCGCAGAGGTTGGC